ATGCTAGACCTATTCTTTCAGTTGTTTCTGCATCTGAAATAGATGATGGATGTGACCAGGTTCATGAACTATTTTATAACATCGATGAGGCTCAGCCGTCTGTTGCTGTATTGCGAGAAAAGCATACCATAGGAGGAATTTCATGATACATATTTCTCCCATATATTATGATGAATAGAGATTTTGTGCAATTTTCTTTTTGATTATGCAGACGTCTTTAGACTTCTATCGCTTGCCATGCTGTATGCTGTAGCTTTCTTGTCTGTGAATTTTGACCAATCAAGATTTACATGCAGGCTGTTCATTCAGGTGCAGATCTTGAGTCTGCCATTCAAAATTGTATGGGCTACAAAGATGAGGTAATATCAATAACTAGTTGGAGTAACTCAACATAATGCATTGTTACTTGTTAGCAATGATGGAGCTTTTTATTCTCTCCAGGGTCAAGGATTCATGGTTGGAGTAAAAATAAATCCTATATCTGGCTTGCCATCAGAAGTTCCAGTAATTTTCTCAACCCCATTTCAAATTCTTATGATGGTTGAATTGAATCAAATAACTAATAAGTTGCATATTGACATTTATTTGAATCAGGATCTCCTGCGATTTGTACTAGAACATGTTGAAGACAGGAATGTGGAAGTCCTTATTGAGGTTTGTGAAATTTTTATATTGGCAATTATTTTTCCGCCTTTCTGGTACGCTCTCTCTGATTTTCAATTTTCCTTTAATTTTAATTCAGGGTTTGCTCGAGGCACGCCAGGGGCTTAGGACATTGCTCTCTAAGCCTCATGATCGTCTGAGGGATCTTTTATTTTTGGACATTGCCCTTGATTCTACTGTTAGGACCGCTATTGAGAGGGGATATGAAGAACTGAATAATGCTGGACCGGAGGTATATTTACTCTCAGTAGTTATCTACATGTCTGAGAATTAATCTCGTCCTTTTCTGTGTTTTCTTCACCAATATTGCAGCAATTTTGAGTCTAAGATGACCGGTTTTAATCACACACTCCAAAGTTTATTTTCTTGATCAACTGATTTATGCATTATGCAGAAAATTATGTATTTCATCTCTTTGGTTCTGGAAAACCTGGCACTGTCATCAGATGATAACGAGGATCTCATTTACTGTTTGAAGGTAAATATCTACTCATAAATTTAATAAATCTTTTTGCGTATTCTTTTTCTCTTCATTCATAAGAATTCAAGTCAATTTGATTTTTGAGGCTTGGATAAAAATTGGGACTTCTCCCTCTTTGTTTACATTTCCAAGATGCTGGCTTAATATTTGAGTTCTTTCATTTTTTTATGAAGGGATGGGATCAGGCTCAGAACATGTTAAAAAGTAACAGTAATGACTGGGCATTATATTCAAAATCAATCCTAGACAGAACCCGCCTTGCGCTTGCATACAAGGCAGAATCATATCTCAGTATTTTACAGCCGTCAGCAGAATACCTTGGAGCACAGCTTGGAGTGGACCAATGGGCTGTATGTATAATCTGTCTCAAAACTAACATATTTTGTATCACATATATAGCTTCCGTTTCTGTGCTCATAATAATTTCTTGCAGGTGAACATATTTACCGAAGAAATAATCCGTGCTGGATCAGCTGCCTCTTTATCCTCACTCCTTAATCGGCTTGATCCGGTTCTTCGAAAGACTGCTCATATGGGAAGGTATATTGTGCTGCCATTGTTTAGTCAATCATATCATGTTTAATCTCAAATACTTAGAAAGATTCTAATGATAATAGAATGAAATAAATGCACTCTGATGTGCTATAAAACTAAGAAGGTTTAACATCTACATTGTTAAAAATCTTCACTTAACTGCTGTGATAAATTTTCTGATGTTACTTCGGTTATCGTGGACAGCTGGCAGGTGATCAGCCCAATTGAAGTGGTTGGATATGTGGTCTATGTGGATGAATTACTCACTGTTCAGAATAAAGTTTACAGAAAGCCCACAATTTTGGTGGCAAAAAGTGTAAAGGGTGAGGAAGAAATTCCAGATGGTACTGTTGCAGTGCTGACACCTGATATGCCAGACGTCCTATCTCATGTTTCTGTCCGAGCAAGAAATAGCAAGGTAATAATCGCTCATCAATCGTAATTTTGCTTCCTGTATAATTGACCCTTTTGGTGAAATAACCAACTTATTGTTTGCAGGTATGTTTTGCGACATGCTTTGACCCCAATATTCTGGCTGACCTCAAAGCTAGTGAAGGGAAGTTATTACGTCTAAAGCCAACACCTGCTGATATAGTTTATAGGTACCTTTTTTCCTGAAACTTGGTCTTGAAAAATGTTAATGTGCTATCTCCTGTTGTGCTGATAGACTGGTTTCCGTCCACTCAAAAATCCACTGCGCTGTAATTTCCATTGTTGAAAGCCCTGCCTCTCAAATACAGTTGGATGAACAAAAAAAAAAAAAAAAAAAACTGAAATACAATGTTTAAATTCTTTTCATGTATATTTTCAGTGAGGTCAATGCGGGTGAGCTAGATGCAAGTTCAACTGATTCAAGAGAGGACGCTCCATCTCTAACATTGGTCAAGAAAGAATTTACTGGTAGATATGCCATATCATCTGATGAGTTCACAAGTGAAATGGTAAGCTCAAAACGTTTTTCAACTTACAGCTAGGGAGTTATTTTCTTTTCCTTCTTTCTTTTTCTTTTCTATTTCACAATTGACGGGGTTGGGAAAAATGTCTTCACATATTAATAAAAGAATCCTTAATACTGTGCAATTTTCCTGATTCTTTATTTTTTTTGTATAACTTCTGTGGGGATTGCAGGTTGGAGCTAAATCACGTAATATTGCTTATGTAAAAGGAAAACTTCCGTCTTGGGTTGGAATTCCTACATCAGTTGCCCTACCATTTGGATCATTCGAAAAGGTTCTTTCAGAAGATTCGAATAAGGTTTTCCTCACCTCAAAACTTCTGTAATCACATCACACACACACACACACACACACTCATATATATATATATATATATATATAGATATTATTTATGCAGCTGTGATGCTCTACTATCCTTCAACTAGAACTGTCTGAAGTTTCATAATAACTCAATTTCTGTCTCTCATGTCTGTTTTAATTTATAGGCTGTTGCTAAAAAGTTGGAAACTCTAAAGAAAAAGTTAAAGGATGGAAATTTTGATTTGCTCAAGGAGATTCGGGAAACAGTTTTACAGCTGGCAGCACCACCCCAGTTGGTATGTATCTTCTACTAGCGGGTTTCCAAGGTTTTTTTTTTTGTCAAAATTGATACAGATAAGTTTGCAAAGCATGCATTTTCCATTTCATTGTGTACAATCACATAAACTCCTCAGGGCTATGTTCAAATCTGTGGCATTCCATCACTTGTTTTTTTCCATCATAAACTGTTAAAAAAGCACGACGTCGCCTTTACACTCTCAAAAACTGAAGTTCAAGTGTGAATAACTTTGCTACTGAAACATTGGGTTCTTTTCTTGTCTTGATATACCATAAAAACCAGTAGTGCTTCCTATAGGGGAGAAATTCTATGGCGCCTGCAGGCAGAATAATATAGTTTAAGTGAATGATACTAGCTTATGTGGGGAGTTAATTTCAGGTGCAAGAGCTGAAGACTACGATGAAAGGTTCAGGAATGCCTTGGCCTGGTGATGAAGGCGAACAACGGTGGGAACAAGCATGGACAGCTATAAAAAAGGTAAGATTGCTTTGCTGCATAGGCCCACATAAATTCTTTTGGTTAAATCAATCCAGTGGTTCTTAAATCTTATAGAGCTAAGAATTTAACCAGCGTTAATAATAGTGTTGAGGTAATCGTACCTCTAGGTAATACATGTGGGCCAGCCACCATTGTGAATTGGCTCTCTTCGGTTCTCAAGTTCTCTTTTCTTACATAACTTGATATCCGAGTTAAGTGTTAAGTTAATGCTGGATTGCTGATCAAATTGTTTAATTTGAATTTTTGCTGATAAATGGGGCATGCTCATCTGTTACAATTCAGGTCTGGGCTTCAAAGTGGAACGAGAGAGCATACTTCAGCACGAGAAAAGTGAAACTAGATCACGAGTATCTCTGCATGGCTGTCCTTGTTCAGGAAATCATAAATGCTGACTATGCATTCGTTATTCATACAACTAACCCATCTTCAGGAGACTCATCAGAGATATATGCTGAGGTATAGGGTAGTTTTTAGGTAAGATATTTTCGACTAATATCAGAGAGACTGATCTGAGTCGTTTTCTGTGATAGGTTGTTAAGGGACTTGGAGAGACTCTAGTTGGAGCTTATCCTGGACGTGCTCTAAGTTTTATTAGCAAAAAGAATGATCTGGACTCTCCTCAGGTAATACATCACCGTAAAACTTACTGTACTGCTGAATAACGACTTGGTTATAGGCTTTAGCTCTACTAATCCTGTCACAACCATGAAACTAGTGAATACGTATCTTTTCTTTGGACCTGCCATTATATGCACTCACGAGTGTGTCGATATTTTTCAGGTGTTGGGTTACCCTAGCAAACCCATTGGCCTCTTTATAAGACGATCCATAATCTTTCGATCTGATTCCAATGGTGAAGATCTCGAAGGTTATGCTGGTGCAGGCCTGTATGACAGGTAGAGTCCCTAACATCTCTCCCGGGCAATCATTACTTACTGCCAGATTCATAGTCAAGTTTTATGTTAGTATAACATATGCACCTAAAAGCACATAAACTTCAATGCGTTTATTTTTATGATTATTGATTTGAAATCATGGTATGCTAATGACAGTGTCCCTATGGACGAGGAAGAGAAAGTCGTGGTCGACTACTCATCTGACCCGCTTATGGTTGACGGAAACTTTCGCAAGACAATCCTCTCTAGCATTGCTCGTGCAGGAAGTGCAATCGAGGAACTGTATGGATCTCCACAAGACATTGAAGGCGTGATCAGGGACGGTAAACTCTATGTTGTCCAGACAAGACCCCAAATGTGATTTATTTCTTTTGTATTTGTGTGTTAAGACATTGTTAATGAGAATAAATAATGTAACAAATTTACATGAGGGTTCATTTGTATCGTCTGAGGGAGGCCTGTTTACAAGACGCAATAAAGAGGGTGACCCAAGCTAACAAGGCTCCCAGTTTTGCGAAGGTCGGAAGGAACGTCTATAGGACGCAGCCTTACCCTTACTTTGCAAAGATGTTGTTTCTATCATGTATACAAGAAGCAATATATTCAGTAATTTTGTAAAATACTCCATTGACTGCATGAATATATAATTATAGTGGCATATTTTGTACGTACATGAAAGATGTCCACTTTATTCTACATATCAGACATCCCTTTCTGATTTCTGCGAGAAATTATATTACACAATAGCCACATCAAGATTAAGAGGCCAAATTTAAATAACAGGGCCCTGAAGTTTACTTGGTGTTTCACTTTCGTTCTTGTAGTTTCGTTTGTTTTCACTTTAATCCAATCCGTCAGCTAAGTAAACTTTCTTCTCATTTGAAGAACTCCCAACTTGAAAGGAGTTTTGCTTTATTTGACGGGTTGGACAAAGGAACTAGAAGGGAGAAAGTGAAACTCTTAGTAAAACTCAGGGACTAATCGTACAATTTAGCCATGTTATTCTCACTATGCAGATCTCTCAGCAATCAGCAGTGATTCCTGAAAGATCCATCCACACTTCGTTTAGGCGCCCAGAAAGGTGATACGAAGCATTGTACTGAGCAATGGCATAAGGACTCTCAGCTGCCAGAATCGCTGGCTTTCCAATTAAGTGCTTATTTAGGCTGTCCACAAGAGTTTCATATTCTTTGGAAAAACGGTCATCTTTGGCAAACCCTGGAAACTTTCTGACTGCTATGCAATGGCTTCTCCAATTATCCAACTGCAAATTCAGTTCGGCCGAGGGCTGTGGAGGTGTTCCTTCATATTTGGCAGCCAGATACAACTTCACGTAGTATTCTGCCAGCCCGTGCACTGACGGCACAATGCTTGTTAAGACAGGAGCCGTTATGGTAATTTCGGAAGAGTTGAGGTTAGCACCATGGATGTATTGATACAGCCTGACCAAAAAACAATAAGTTTCAATATCAATGAGAGTCGCCAAATTAGGAAAAAGGTAACGATTAGCCATCTGCGCTTTAAACTAAGTATTTGATCACATTTTTTTGCGTATTAGGCTAGAGAAGGAGCGTTAATATCACTAGCGAAGAAGAAGAAGAAAAACATTTAGTGCTGGTAAACCTGTGAAATCCGTCTTTGGTGGCTTTTTCGAAAGAGGTTGTGTCTTGGACGAGAGCAGACATCCATGAGGATTCTTTGTAGAGTCTGAGCTCAAACTCCGATTCAGAGTGCACCACCCTGTAGGGAGGCGATTCGATAGCATGACCGGACAGTACAAGTTTACTGCTACAAAGGTAACAACATATTACTATAACCAAGTTCAACATTGGCTTTTCCATTTGATCATCGATGTTTTGTGCTCTGGAGGGCCCCTGGCTTTATAAGCAGCAAAGCAGGACAGGTTTCATGCTGTGATTAGTAATCTGAAGCACGAGGTTTTAATACTAATAAGACAGATTAAGGGACTGTGCGTGAGTGAGCATAGTTAATTAGTGGCTCCAGTTCCACCATTTTCTGTTGTGTTCCCCACTTCTAGAACCTGAACAAAAACCACAATGATGTGTTCCATTTGTGTACTGCATAGAATAGTTCGATCGCCAAGAAAACAAATAGGTAGCGATTTTCTCACTCCTGTTTTTTTGTTACGTAATCTTCTATTTTGTGATAGATTCTTATTTAATTAAATCGATGTAATCCCTAGAAAAATAGAGAAAACACGAGGGCAAAAAATCATTTTGCAAATAAATTTTGAGAGATGATTTACACACGCTCATTTTCGTTCTGTGCATATCTTATTAAACTATGTTTACTAATGTCTTTCACAAGTGGGAAAATATGCGACAGAATAGTGATCAGCAACAATTAAACTTTGTTAAATTATAACCCACTTAGGTTATGTGCTATATCCTCCAAGTCAAAGATTTTATTCCATATAACATTTCATCATGTTCATTAGCTTATCCTGCTTAGTGGGAATCTTTCTTTTGTAATAGCTTATTAATATTTAATGTGCATTTTAATTACATTTCAAGTTGTTTAAGCATACCCTTGCACTCACTAAGAGTACTCATGGTTTCTCCTCTCTATTACACGTCACCAGAAAACCTTACCTGCCTGTCACCATACTATATCTAAATAGTTCATAACCTTTTTCGCGTGATTGGTAACGTCATGCGAGAAGAGAGCTAGAAAGAACGAAGCTAGTATACAACAAACACGTAAGGAGTGAGATATAAACATAAAAAGTATACAACAGTAACAAGTAAACAAGCCCGACCCAAGTCACTTTGGGCTTGGATAGTGTTTTTCAAGTTGGATTGGGCTAAAATTTGAGTCCAATCAGTTTCAACTTTTGCCAATTCAACAGAGAAAGAAAGGTCCAATTCTGCAAAACAGAAGTCCAAATTCTCGATAGTTTGTCTTGCTAAAGTGATGACATTGGAAAAGGAATGCTCCAAATCTCTTCTGCACTACATGCTTCTGTTCATAGCTTGAAACCCCATGTTTGCAGCTACATCATGATCAAACAACATGTGCAGTGAATCAAACATCATCATCGTCGTGCTCTTTCCGCAGCAAGCAATTCGAAGAGACTCGCGTTAAGATTATGTACTCCGTTCGAGCAACATAATGATGATGCACATCACATGATGTATAAGAGAGATATATGGCCCCCGTCATATGATGGCCAAAGCATGCCATACACCCAAAAAAAAAAGAAAGAGGAGTTGGTAGAGAAACCTTCTTGTTCCTCAATGGCTGTATTTGTTGGATTTGGTAATTAAGCTTTAATTTTAAGATTAATTAAACTTGTACCCTCGGTGTTTATCTTGGAAAGTTGGGCATACTTGTTAGACAAAATCATTGCTCAGCATAACCGTTCCACACTTGTCAAGCTTTATAAATCATCTTTTTCCCACTTTCAAGAGCCTTTTTGTAATTAAAAGACTATACACATCCATAGAGGTAAGAGTATGAATATTGTACAGGATATTCTACTGAATAGAGCCATCATATGCATACACTACATCATCCCAGATAGTTAAATAAATAAAAAGAAAAAAAAAATCATTTACGCACACAATTTTTTTTATTCTGCACATTTTTGTTTATTTTTGTCTTTTAATTCTCGAGAGATGCCCCTCTCCTAAGGTCCTCATTTTGAGGACCTATGAGGTCCTTTTTTGTATGAGTCGTTAGAATAATCTTATGGTAGATTAAACTATAAACTTAAATAATTCGTGTGACACGAAAATAAAACACTAATTGATAAAACCAAATTAAAAAAAAAAAAAAAGGAGAGAAGAAGTTTCACAAAATGTCAAATCCCTTCCATCCACAAAACCCAACAAATCCAATTGCACAAAACTCTAATAACTTTACACATTCAATTTCATCCAGTTTTTAATATTATTCAAACCTAGTTAATTACAAAGCACCAAAAAAATTGAGATTGTGCGGTTTGAAAAATTGGGATCCCCTTCTTCTTGAACATGTGAATTTTTTTTCATATGAAATTTTCCGACGACAATGAAAATTTGAAACATGTCCCTCCCTTTTTTCATATGTGACAAAGGAAAAAACAAAAAACTCAGGAGGAGATAATAGGAGTGAACGATTGAGAGAGAGATGGAGAGAGGAAGGGGATGTGGTGGAGCTAGACGGTAGGGGAAGGTGACGGAAGATTTCACGTGAGATTTTTTTTTAAAATTTAATTACTTCACAGAATAATTGCGTTTTGATGTAACATGAATTATTTAAGTTTATAACTTAATTTACCATAAGATTAATTTGAGAGTTCCTATGAAAAAGGACCTCACAAGTCCTCAAAATGAGAACCTTAGAAGAGTATTTCTGTTAATTCTCTTTTAATTTTTTCAACTTAGAAACTAAAATTAAATCAAAGTATCTAATAAAAAGAAAAGAGATGTACGAAAATTACGTTTCATAAAAAATGAGCGGTCGACACGTATGAACACTTTTCAAAGAATTGGTGTCCGATGGTTCTAATTCTTCATTCTTAATTATACGAACCACCCACCATTCTTTATCATGACTCTATCCTCTCTTTTTATCTTCAAAGGATGTCTCGATGCAATTTCACTTGACAAGTATTCCCTTTTTAACTAAAATGGTCACGTTTGGCTAGAAGCATCCAGAGAATATATGCAGTGAACAATTTTCTTGTAATACAAGATAGCATGGTCGAACGTATATTATCGGTTGGTTCCCAGGAAGATGGAAGAAAACAAACGAAATGCTAGATTCTACAATTATCATTTAGTTTTATATGAAAGTATAATTAAATGCTTCACATATTCTTAATGATCAAGTAAAGCATCATTACATAAATTTTTTCATCGAGGTAAAGTAGCTGTATGAGTTTGTTTGTTAATGCTTTTAAAATGACTGAAAGTGTTTTTGGTGAAACTGATTTTCGGTTCTAAAAGCAGTTTAAGTGTTTTTTTGGAAAAAGTACTAGATATGTGCTTCTTGCAAGAAGCACTTACAAAGTTTTTTCACGATCCACTTGAATTTTTATTAAAGATTGGTTTAAAAAACATTTTCACCAATAACGCTTTCAGTTATTTTACAATCACCTTCTAATATATATACATATATCTTCCACCTAACCCTAAATTCAATGAACAAGCTCTTTTTCGAAGTGGGATCGGAAGCTTTTAGACTTTGAATTCAAGCCCCATTCGATTCAGAAGATTGACCAAATAAGTCAAGGAATTACAACTAGGTGATCATCATGGCATGACCAAACTTGAAACTTAATGCATGCCTTCGAATTGATTACATGCAGGGCCACTACTTCCCGCAAAATGTGGCAACGAAACTCCCAATTCTCTTTCAGATTTCTAAGCCGATCATCTTGTTAAAGCTTTCTAGGAGGAATCGAGACTCAAAAAGCTCACCTTTGGTTGCTTGTGGGGTTCTTATTCCATGACAAGAAGCTGCTCATAGTAGTCATGTTGTCTCCAATTAAACACTTTTTATTCCAAATGTTTTAGATGGCTATCAAGGCCAGTGAGTCTTTGGTCAATTCCATCACCTTTTTATCAGGAACTTCGTTACTTTAACACTAGCGAGATTGGAAAATATAGAATAAAACATAAAAAAAACTCGGGTGTACGAGTGAACATTAATAATCGACATTAACTTATGGAAGTGTTATTGGCACTTCAAAAATCTTATTTTACACTCCTCATAAGTATATTTTTCTTTCCAAATATAAAAAATTTGGAATGTAGAATAAGATTTTTGAAATGTCAATAACAATTTCCTTAACTTAAACTATATATAAACTCTTTCCACATTTTCTTCTAGTGATAATGAATTTTAATATAAAGAATTTGAGCAAACATGTCACGTTACCAAAATGGTAACTAGTGTAAATACACACTAAATAGGAAAAGATAAAAACATGGTAACTTTGAAGTGACGTTGCACGTCATGCAGCTCTTCTAGAGTCAATGCAAGAATACAGCAGAAGTGAGAAATGTCAAAAAGGTGAACTTTGGCTCCCATTCTGATATGTCAAATAATATGAGCAACTGGCTTCTCTGCACTCTTACTTTTCATACATTTTTATTTATTTCTATTTGTACGATCACGATTAAATCACGTTAACATTTTATATTATTATTATTTTTTATCTTATTATCTTTATAAAAAAATTAATATAAAATGTTGACGTGGTTTAATTGTGACCACACAAAATAGAAAGGAATGAGAATATATGGAAAGTGAGAAGGTAGAGAATCCGGATCCATAATATAATGCACGCATAGTGGCCCTTCTCTGATTAGCAAAAACATTCCTTTTCCTTTTTCCAGATGCCTCATGGCCTCACATCGCCCGTATCATTGCTCCAAGATAGAGACACCATCATTATATCTAGGTATATAAAAATTCATTTTTTTTAAGCACTATGAATCATATTATAAAAATACATAGTTCAGATTGTTAAAATACATTACAAAATAATTTTCATAAATATGTAGAAAATATATAAACATTGTCACAGATCCATGCTATATATATATAATATAGTCACTAGGGCCCTCTAAAAATATGCCAGTACGTAGTGTAAGATTATCGAGTGTCCATACAGTGGAAACATTCCTCAAATTAGTTTTGTTTATTCTGTTTAAATATTTATCATAGAAGTTGAGCTTTTCTTCTCCGAGGCTGATGAAAAGGGAAACACTGAATTTTATTTCATGATACGATAGCATCACATGGTTTCATCACAGAGTAATTCTTCACTCCACGCAGAATGAGCTGGGATTATATATAATCAGGCTTAATTTAAAAAAAAAAAACTGTTTTCGATAATGATAATTTCCAGCAATTAAGAGGATCCAAATTCTTAATTATTTCCATGCAAACATCATCGTGATGCATGCACACATAATATGCTCACGGGAATATACGGTCGTTTTTTGCTAATAATCAACTAAAATTTCTTATACTCTATTGAGTCTGTTCTACTCGGATATAATTTTATTTGTTCACCTGAATTCTTCTACGCCAGTAAAAAGAAACAGTATATAACGCACACGCATGGCTTATGTC